CTATGTCACCACTGCGTAGTTCTCCTGCCCACTGTGTATACCTGAGTTGTAGGTCTATAGGAGCATCGTCACCAATGTACTCGATACGGCGTGATATTCGGGAATCCCAGAAGCGAAGCTCTTCAAGTTTGGTGGGAGACACCTGAAAGGACGTCCATAGAGTCTTGTGTTGAGTTGCAGTAGTTGACCAATATCTGCAAATATACAGCAACTTTTCGAGAGGATTATCGATCCCATCCCATTGGGCATAGATATCAAATATCATTCGCAGGACATCACAGGGCAATTTTTTATTTAGGCTTCTTGTCAAACGCGCTTGCTCTTCATCCATGGTGTTCCCGCAAATGAAGTATGGATGGGTTATGGGGCAATTATGCTTTTCCAATAATCCCTTAATGACTTTCGTTTATAGTATTATGTCGACGTTAAGAAACTTGAGGAATATGAAAAAAATTCAGGAGGAAGTTGCGTTGCACACATAGCCAACCAAACGACTATGCTCCGTACTCAATTGGCCACCACATATGTACAATCACAAGTGAAATCATTCTATATAGATCTCTCGCTGAGTGATTGTTCTCATTGCCAAACTTACCTACCCTTGCCAGCATTATCACAATGCCAAGAACACAGCAAGTCGGTATTACCTATGGTAAAGGTCCTTGTTCTTACTACAAACGCAAATTTATGCCAGAATACAATATATTTCAGCATTACGAGTAGAAATGAATGAGAGTTGGCTGTTGGAGCTACAAGGGAATAATCCCCTTCATGCCTTAAAAGTGCTCCTGTATATCACTCGATAAGGGAGCAGACGAAACTACTTATGCTACGCACCTTTGCGGGCCTCATATCCAATTCGAGGGTCCATGCACTATGATCTTGTTGATGGAGCCAGATGAATTTGGGACTGGATTAGCTAGGTAGCTTGTCGTAGTATCTGTGTTTGTAAACTAGTTAACGGAAAAATAAAAGCACTCGTAGGCCAATCCAAAATACTAAGAATGTTGTATTTATCTTTATCTTCTAGCCAGGAATTGGCTTCCCTGGTCTAGTTGGTTATGGCGTCGGTCTCATAGTAATGAGGCTCTCTACGAGCTGCAATCCGAAGGTCGTGAGTTCGATCCTCACGGGGAGCACGTTTTGCACCCCGCTACTACCTTCCATCTTCTCTTTTTGG